TTTCTTTATTAATTACACTTTATTCACTTTGTATCCCCCCTGTGGTTCTCTCCCTCCTCCCATCCCAATCCCTCCCTTCCTCCACCCTTTGCATGCATGCCCCTTCCCAAGTCCACTGATAAGGGAGGACTTCTTTTCCTTCCTTCTGATCCTAGTCAATTAGGTCTCATCAGGAGTGGCTGCATTGTCTTCTTCTGTGGCCTGGTAATGATGCTTCCCCCCAGGGGGAGGTAATTAAAGAGCAAGCCAATCAGTTCATGTCAGAGACAGTCCTGTTCCTATTACAATGGAACCCACTTGGATACTGAACTGCCATAGACTACATCTATGCAAGGGTCTTAGGTTATCTCCATGCATAATCCTTGGTTGGAATATCACTCTCAGGAAAGACCTCTGTGCTCAGATTTTTTGGTTCTGTTGCTCTCCTTGTGGAGTTCCTGTCCTCTCCAGATCTTACTGTTTTCCACTTCTTTCATAAGATTCCCTGCACTCTGCCCAAAGGTTGCCCACAATTCTCAGCATCTACATTGATAGTCTGCAGGGCAGAGCTTTTCAGAGGTCCTCTGTGTCAGGCTTGTTCCCTCTTTTCTCCTTCTTCTGATGTCCAGCCTCTTTGCCTTTCCGGATAGGAAATGAGCATTTTAGCAAGAGCCCTTCCTCTTGATTAGTTTCTTTAGGTGTACAGATTTTAGTAGGTTTATCCCATATTATGTGTCTATATGAGTGAATATATACTGTGTGCATCTTTCTGCTTCTGGGATAGCTCACTATCGAATGGCAGAGAAACACTTAAAGAAATGCTCAACCTCATTACCCATCAGGGAAATGCAAATCAAAACGACCCTGAGATTTCACCTTACACCCATCAGAATGGCTAAGATCAAAAACTCAAGAGACAACATATGCTAGAGAGGTTGTGGAGAAAGGGGAACCCTCCTCCACTGCTAGTAGGAATGTAAACTTGTACAACCACTCTGGAAAGCAATATGGCGCTTTCTCAGACAACTAGGAATAGCGCTTCCTCAAGATCCAGCTATACCACTCCTAGGCATATATCCAAAAGATTCTCAAGTACACAATAAGGACATTTGTTCAACCATGTTTGTAACAGCCTTATTTGTAATAGCCAGAAGCTGGAAACAGCCCAGATGCCCCTCAGTGGAGGAATGGATGCACAAATTGTGGTATATCTACACAATGGAATATTACTCAGCAATAAAAAACAAGGAAATCATGAAATTTGCAGGCAAATGGTGGGATCTGGAAAAGATCATCCTGAGTGAGCTCTCCCAGACCTAGAAGTCTTATATAAACTCTGGAGAAATAAGTCTAGAGAAAATTTTAGTGTAGAACAATTATGAGAGGGAGTCATAAGGAAAAGGATATATAATCCTTAACTGTAGGAGCTGTTTTGTAGATGTACCTATTGAGACGGAGCTCCACAACTCTGTATTTTGTTTGTGATGGAGCAAAGAAAAGTTTCTTTTTTAAGAGGTGAGGAACCCAATTTCTGTGGGTATAAAGACAAATATTTAGAATGTAGTTCAAAATTATTCTGGTTTAGTAAAGTGATGGTTGTAGGTTTTCTTTCAATATCATGACGTTAGTACCCTAGGTAGCTGGCTAGGTTTCCAATACCATGCATTATTTAACCCCTGATGAACAGGTTTTATATCCAATTAGGGACTTGTTGGTTGCCACCCAACAGCTCCTCCTGATGGAGGAGGCCATCTTCCAAGTTATATTTTCTTTCTTTTTTAAATTGCAGTGTTCTTAGTGCCTGGAAAGAATGACTGCAAATGCTAGACACTGAAGTAATAGCTATGGGATAAGTGAAATGATCCTTTGCAGAGGTATAAAACAGTGGAAGTCTCAATCCAGACTTCTTTCCTGTGTTGGAGCATATTCACCAATGACAAATAAACAGTCTTTATTGTCAGCAACAAAGGTAAAAATATATAAATGTAAATAGCTTTAGAGCATAAAGCACTCTGAATAATGCACCTGTCTTTTTCTTGTGTTTCTGTGGATATGAAGGAGTTGTCAAGCACTGAGCTTTGGACCAGTGAAGCAGATCGAAAGCCAGATAGAGCCAGCCTCTTTTCTGAGTGATTTCATCTTCTTGAAGAAGAACTTCAGACAATATAAGACCTAAGAGAAATTCAAGTAGAAAAAATATGGACAAAGCCTTTCATGACTCCACAACATAATCTTGATAGCTTCCAAGAGAAAGTTCAAGAGTAAGCTTGTAGGCTGAACATGACCCCTTTGGGACAAAGGTGAGCTTGGTCCAGGACCAAATGAGTTGTATGCTGTAAGCCTGCACCAGTGTTGGAGCACCAAGCTCTTGATCTCATGAGGGAGGTTCTAGAATGCTGTTTCACATACAAAACAACTAAGATGCAGAGAAGTCACTGCATTCAAGGCAGAGCTGGATTTTGAAGTCAGGTGGCATGAGTCCCCAGCATGTAATCTGAGTATCTGAACTCTATTGATTTCTTACTTCACCATGAAGAGGACATGTTAAGAATCTGGAACAAGTTTATAAGAGGGAGATAGTAAACCTTGAGTTTGAAAGTGTCTGTAGAGTGAAGTTGTAAAGGCTTTGGGCACTTTCCTCTTGATGTGGGACTTTTCTCTCAAGGCCCTAGAGAAAATGACACACTCTGTCTCAAAGTTTAAAATAAGGACCAACAGCGCTGTGAAGAGGAGAAGGGGTGATTGCTGAGTGCTTGCATTTGGCTGGCAAGAATGAAGAAAAGCATTGGCTTGAAGTGAGAAAATTCAAGCAGAAGAACCTCAGGTCATGAGAGACAAAGATGTGCGTCCTCTTTTCAGTGAGATACTCTAAGTGGTAGATAAACACTGAGAATTACTGCAACCAGCTTCGTTTTTTTTTATTATTAATTTTATTTTTTTCTTATCAGTTACATTTTATTAACTCTGTATCCCAGCCGTGTCCCAATCCCTCATTCCCTCCCAGTCCCTCCCTCCCTCATCTCCACCGTGCCCCTTGCCAAGGTCCCCCACTGATAGGGGGGACCTCCTCCCCATTCATCCGATCCTGTTTTATCAGGTATCTTCAAGACTGGCTGCAAAGCTCTCCTCTGTGGCCTAACAGGACTGCTCCTCCCTTGGGGGGTGGGGAGGCCAAAGAGCCAGTCATTGAGTTCCTGTTAGAAATAGTCCTTGAAGCCAGAAGAAAACAGGAAACAACCTTGAAACCTGCCACAGAGGGCCTCTGAAAGCCTCTGCAGTATAGACTGTCAAAGCAGATGCTGAGCCTGATGGCCAACTGATGGGCAGAGTGAATGGAATTTTATGTAAGAAGTGGGAAATAGTAAGAGCTGGAGGGGATGGGAACTCCACAAGCAGAGCAACAGAACAAGATAATTTGAACACAGGGAACTTCCCAGAGACTCATACTCCAACCAAGGACTATTCGTGGAGATGACCAGGAACCCCTGCACAGGTGTAGCCCATGGCAGTTCAGTGTCCAAGTGGGTTACATAGTAATGGGAAGAGGGACTGCCTCTGACATAATCTGATTGGCCTGCTCGTTGATCACTTCCCCCTGAGGGGGGAGCAGCCTTACCAGGCCACAGTAGAGGACAATGCAGCCACTTTTGATGAGAACTGATAGACTAAGATCAGAAAGAAGAGGAGAACCTGCCCTATCAGTGGACTTGGGGAGTGGCATGCATGCAGAAAGGGGAGGGAAGGTGGGATCGGCAGGGGAGGAGGGAGAGGCTTATGGGGGGATACAAAATGAATAAAGTGTAATTAATAAAAAAAAAATAAACCTAAAAAAAAAAAAAGAAATAGTCCTTGTTCCCCACACTATGGGAAACCAATTGGTTATTGAGCTACCACAGGCTACATCTGAGCAGAGGTTCTAGGTTACATTCATACATGGTCCTTGGTTGCATGTCAGTCTCAGAAAAGACCCTGTGCTCAGATATGTTTGGTCCTTGTGGAGCTCCTATCCTTTGTCAAATAATCTTTATTGTAAGCAACAAAGATAAATATCAATTTAAAGTTTCCTGAGCACATATGAAAATTAAGTGTTTTCCATTCTAGCCAGAGATTTCACCATCTATTGGTGAACTCGATTTATCAATCTCATTAAAATACTGCAGTAAAAAATGTGCATATATTTCTCTGAAATTGTTTAATGGGTTTTATAGGTTTTTATGAAGAACTTTACTTGAGTCAAGGAAAATTTTTATCAAAATTTCCTTTTATTTGTCCCGTGGGATCTATATTTTTATAAAGTTACTTGTAATTGTATCTTGGCCTACTGGAGTATTTACTCACTGGCATCAGCTTACTTTTACCTGTAGTCTTTTCATCTCTGCTGTGCACAAAAGAAAGCATTAGCATCGGGTGCAGTCCTGGAAAGGAAGAGAAAGTTTCTTGAGGACACCTACTAAGAACTGGAAGGCATCACCGGAGACTGTTTCTTTATCCAGAAATTAAAAAAAAAAAAAAAAAAAAAAAACGCACTTGCTAATATGTTCTGTCAGCATGTAACCTATAATATACACAGAGACTCCACTATTTGAACCCTTGAAAAACTACCAAGATGAATTAGCCACATCCATGTCTCAAGGAATTTTACGTTTAAGGATTATAAACTCAACAATTCCCATTTTAAAAATTAATACAATAACTCAATAATCAAAATGATCTTTACCTTAAGATTTGTAAATATTTCTTCTATATATGTATATATAAATACATACATATATATGTATGTATATATATATATATATATATATATAGAGAGAGAGAGAGAGAGAGTCTCACTGTGCTTCTGAATCTGCCTGGAATTCACTATGTAACTGGTGCTGGCCTCAAAATTGCTGTGATCTTCCTTTGTCAGGCTCCTAAGTATTGGGATTGTAGAGAGGTGTGTACCACTGTTCCTAGCTTTAAATAATAATCCTTTAAGCTTTCTTAAAGAATAAAAATAAAAATAAATTTAAAAAGTCATGCTCCTGCATCCACTGATAGATCTTGAATAGTTTGTAGCTGTTCTTCTGGTTTTCACTAGGATGCAAAAGAAAATGCTTCCTGTGCTTTCTGCTTTTCTTTGTGGGCCAGATTGAAGTGGGGAGTACATCTGTAGGGTTTTTTTTTAAGTTGACAGAGTCAGGAAAGCAAAGTAACAAAATCTAGACAATACCAAGACTCCCATTTGGTTTTTAGTATGATAATATTATATTAGTAAAAAGAAATCAGAACTTAATAAAACAATGTAGAACTACCAGCAGAATTTGGGTCTCCTACAGTCTTGGCTTTTACATTAAAAAGAGAGAGAAAGGAAAAAAATCAGAATTATTTGAAATCAGGTGTAATATGGAGAATTCTGGAGAATGGGTATATATATATATGTTTGGGACTCCTTAACCTCTATCAACAACTCTCTGCAGACCAGGAAAAGGGCAGGTCTTGGCAGATCACAGAGAATATTTTTGATAAAACACTGCAAGAGAGCTGTCTTGTGGCAGCTTTGACAAGCTGCCTTACATTGTCTTTATTGGAAAGGCACAGTTTCTAGCAAAAGCATGTCTAAAGTCCTGCTGCCAAACAGAGACAACTATGGAAAATGTGCAACCTTTTTGCTACTAGCAGGGAAGTGCTCATTGTCCTCCCACTGTGTCCAAAGGACCAAGCTGTCAGCAAAGTTGAGACAGACATCTCTGCAGCTCAGCTTCAAGACTGTACAGAGCATCATATCCCTCCCAGCACAGCACAACCACCTTCTTTAATGTGTGTTCTTTAGCCTATGCACAAAGAGCCAAGGTTTCCTTCAAGGCCTCTTCTGAATATGAATGATATTAGAGAAACCAAGAGCCAGTTCTGATTCACTGATGAACTCTCTCTCTTCCCAACCACAGTGTCTGCCCATTCGTTCATGATATGAACACTATTTGGTGCTCAATAAATATTTGTTTAAAGGCTCTGTGGTGATTTAATAGCTAATTAATTTATGAGCCTATGACTAACCCAATAGCTGGCACACGGTAAGTCTCAATAAATTCTTTATGAGTGAGCAAACTGGCTGAAAGTCTGAAATGCTATTAAGGGTCAGGCTCACTCACAGAGGCAAGGCAACATTACACAGCAGATGGTCTCTCCTTTCTCAGGTCCTACATGGTGTACAGAGTCCTTGGCTCACTCGTGATAGTATTCCTGCACTGTGTTCCCTTAATGCAGCAGTGCTCAAAGATCCACAGCATCACCTTAGAGTTAACAATCTCAGCCCCACTTCAGTCTATTGAATTAGAAACTCTGAGTAGAACTAGCAATCTGTGCTTCAACAAGCCACAGGGAATCTGCATTCTTTTACACTGTAGGCTCCTTTTTAAAAAAAAATTATTTAACTTTTATTAATTACTCTTTATTCATTTTGTATCCCCCCATAAGCCTCTCCTTCCTCCCCTCCCTGTCCCACCCTCCCCCCACTTTCTGCATGCATGCCCCTCCCCAAGTCCACTGATAGGGGAGGTCCTCCTCTCCTTCTTTCTGATCTTAGTCTATCAGTTCTCATCAGAAGTGGCTGCATTGTCAGGGTTCTAGGTTATCTCCATGAATAGTCCTTGGTTCAAGAATGAGTCTCTGGGAAGTTCCCTGTGTTCAAATTTTCTTGTTCTGTTGCTCTCCTTGTGGAGTAGGCTCCTTTTTAAGGAGCTTTGCTTTCTTTCTACCGGTTGATGAGTTTCAGCTAAAGATTTTGGTTGATTAGGTTTTCTAGTAGCTCAAGAATATTTTAATGTTTAACAGGTACCTAAAGTAAAGTAACATTAATGATCAACATTTAGGTCTAGCCACAAAAATTAGATAGATAGGTAGATAGATAGATAGATAGATAGATAGATAGATAGATAGATAGATAGATAGAGGCAATTCTAAAAAGAAAACAATGAAGATGCCACTACTATGGATATGGGTGCATATGGAGATTTGTAATCTTTGAAAATTTTGATGAGTTTTTTGGTGTTCAGCCAGATCTGAAGGATTGATTCCACTCCATGGAAAGTCCTTGACATACTGACTTTCTTTCTAGAAGATTCTGTTTAATATGCTAATGCATTTTGTCAAGTTGTAATATCTTTTTCCAAAACTTTAAATAAGTATTTTATTGGAAACATTTTTCATGTTTAAAACTGAATCACAATGTTCATTTTATATTCATTTGATTATGAGAGTGGCCATTTTTAACGAAGCTTATAATAAGACAAAACAAATTATATCTGGTCCATTTAATAGTATTTCCACCATTTACAAATCAGAAATATTTTAATGCTTATACTATTATTGTAGTATACATAGTACATTGATAGATAACATTATAAATTTATGTTAACCATCCCCATTATAAATAACTTACCTCATCAAATATTTCTGCAAGTCTTTAAGTAAATGAATCAAACAGATCAGTCTAGCATCTGCCCTTTTCCCACTGATTTTCTCAGGCACCTGCATATTGCTCTTGTTTATTTCATTAGGGATCAGAATGATTTAAATTTGTAAATCCCAGTAGTCATTCTAAAATAGGGGTTGAAGCACCAGTCTTGTTTATTATAAAATACATAGGAAGGCTGAAGGATAGCATATCTCTATCCCAATGCTGACTTTTAGTTAGTTAGTTAGTTAGTTAGTTAGTTAGTTAGTTAGTTAGTTA